ACTGTGTACATATGGAGATTCCTTACTGATGGAGATTTTTACATTTACATCTCAGATTCACCTCTTTCTAAGGTAAAATACTTACAATGTAGATTTCTGTGCATAACAAGTCATAGCAACTATAGCTGTCCCAATGCCTTTGCATAGGTTAGAGAGTTCACTGAGTATATATTGAACATGGCATCTTACCTTGTTTTCTAAAATATGCAGAAATCTTGAAAAATGAGCTTAGTCAGACATTCAGACATAGAATGCTGCACTGACATATAAAATCTCTCTCAGGTAGTGTTTAGTGATTCTCTAAGGCAAGAAGGAAGCAACGAGGAGTGGGGAATTAGAATGGATTCAAGTCTTGGACCGACTGTGCATTTTTTCTAGGTCCTAGGGAAGTCATTTGCCACCTCCTTAACTATAAGTTACTTCTTCTTGTACTATGGAATAAACACATTAACATTATCTCTTCTACACAATTCATGGAATTCTATTTAGAAAGAGCAAATAAGGAAATATCTATAAAGTAACTCACGAAGGGGTCATCATTTTCAGTCTCAATATAGTGTTTGTTTTGTGGACTCCCTTAGCAAAGTTGTAGGTTCCTTGGAAACCATGGGAGGAAGCCTGAGTTCATGGACAAGTATGAACATTCAGTTGAATGAAAGGTGGACAAAGGGCTAGGACTGAACTGTGGTCCCTCTGAAATGAAGTCCCTTGGGCTCTGGTTGAGTTTCAGAAGCTGATGGATAGGACGCAGGAGCAGATTATGAAGACACGGAGCTCTCAGGGGACTTCCCCAGGAGAGCATCTGTAGCTTCTTTCTCTTCCTTCCAAGGGAAGAAACAATTAAATTTCTGTGGAGACCTAGTTAGATATTTCAAGTATGTGCACATGCTTTGGAAATCACTCATGAATGTATAGCAGTTAGCAGTCTGCACAATTTTTACAGTATAGTTCTGTTTTTTTGTTAAATATATAGCTACATAATCATTTCCCAAATCGCCTTCTATCCTGAACTTCTTTGTTGTCAAGATTGTATCCACTTGGGGCTGGGGATTTAGCTCAGCGGCAAAAGCGCCTGCCTGGCAAGCGCAAGGTCATGAGTTTAGTTCCCGGTACCGGAGAAAAACCAAAAAAAAAAAAGATTGTATCCACTTAGTGTCCTGGCAACCAGTAACAATTTTTCCATATAATTTTCCTTTGCAAGACTGTCCTTCACTGGAATTCTAGAGCACATTATCTCTGACTATTGCATCTTTTATTAGCATAGACTCAGATGAGGTACAAACATTTTACACAATGTGTGTAGTGGAACTTTTTTTTATCATGGTGCTATATTTCAAAATAATTATACACATTTTGTTTTCCATTCCTGGATCAGAGTAATATTTGCTGATTCCAATGTTTGGAGAGCATGAATAAAATTGATCTAAACATTGGCTAACAGCTCTGTGTAAACAGACTTTTATTTCATTTACCTAAATTCCCCACAGTTGGTTTGCTTGATCATGTGGTAAACATGTGTAACTGAACAGAAAATCCCAATAGTTTCTGAAAAAGGCTTTATCACTTTCTATTCCCAACTGCTGTAGGTTCCAACTTATTCATAGGTATTATTTATAAATTTTGTTTGATTTTACTCATTTTGGTACTTGTCAAAGATGTTTCAAGTCTTCCTAGCAAAAGTTCTGATAATGTTTAACTTTTATTTATTACCTTATTTCTGACAGACACCAATTGAATAGTTCCATGAAGTACCTTCCATGCGTCTCTCAGCACTTTATGCAATGTGGTAAACTCGGGGCACTTAGATTGGCCATTTTTGCAGGTATCACTGCTCCTTTGTGGCCCAAATATTCAAACCCACTCCTTTAGCTACTTTTGGGTCATATAATGCAGTATCGTTTGTGATGGTCACCCCCCGTGTAATAGATTTTTATTCTGTTTGTTTCCTGAAGATGACTCTTGGGTCTTCTTAGAAAAATATTTAAAAAAAAAAAAAAACCCACAGCCGTATCTCATTATCACATTCAAAGACTGGGGGTGGTTTTTAATCTCAGCAAGGGATTTGATCCACTGTTTTCTCTACAGAGTCCACGCTGAGCTCTCAGTCCCTAGAAGCCTTATCGCGGCTCTCTCATGATTGCAAGTGCGTGTAGTGGTTACAAGTAGGCTCTGTGTGCTAACATAGCTCAGCCTCAAATTGACTAATTTAACCTTTCCAAATTTCAGCTTCTCACCTGTAAGGACAGTGTTATGCTTTGTATGACGATGTCCCCCAAAAGTTTCACATGTTCAGAGTTTGAGCTTTTAGCAGGTGCTTGGAACATGAAGGCACTAACCTCATCGGCAGGTCAATTTCCTGAGGAGTTCACTGCTGAGGGGAGTATAAGCAGGTGAGGTCCTGAGGAAGGACGCAGATCTCTTGGGGGAGAACTTTAGAGGCTCTGTTCTTGTTCTGGCTCCCTCCTGGCCTTAGCGCTTGTGCCCACCGTGAAACGTGTATGTTTCCAGAAACCATGCCTCATCTGGGCTGCAGCCGGTCCGGAGCTAGAACCCTAGGAACCATGAGTCAAATTAAGTGTCACGTGATGGGTGTTTTCTCCTCGGAAGGGAGAGCTGACCAGTACAAAACAGATTGACAACATCACCTCATCCTCACAGATGGCCAAGAGTATCATCAGATCCCTGAGCATTTTCTACTTCATACCAGGTAGTCCATAAATTAAATATTATTAGCCTGAGTACCATGGAGCACAAAAATAGCACAATCTACCATGTGCTTCCCTACACATCCCTGGCTCATTTTAGCTACAATGGACTGTAGGAAGAATACATAGTTGTATTATCTTCCATCACCACCCTGTTGTTTCTCTCCTGTTGCAGGCTTCGAGGAGGTGCCATGTGCTAGCAGGTGCAGATGAGGAAGACCCATCTTGGCCCCACCTCTTAATACTCCATTCAGCTGTGAACTTCTCAGGAAATTGACCTATTGATGAGGTCAGTTAGTGCCTTCATGTTCCAAGCACTTTCCATATCTCCACCTGTGGACACATGAAACTTTTGGGGGAAAATGTTATACAAACCATAACATTTTCCTTACAGATGAGAAGCTGCCATTTGGAAAGGTTAAATTAGTCAGTTTGAGGCTGAGCTATGTTAGCACACAGAGCCTACTTGTAACCAGTAGCTCAGAGTAGACTCTGTAGAGAAAACAGTGGATCAATTCCCTACATTTGAGAACTACAGGACAGATAGAGCTTTCCAGTGCCCCAGGCAATCTGTGTCAAAGTTCTAATTGCCTGTTCCCATAAATGAAAAAGTTAATAGTAAAGTTCATATGTAAATGCAAAGACTCTGAATAGCCCAACTTTGAAAATGAACAGACTGACTCATACTTCCTGATTTTGAAAATTAAAACAAATCAAAGCATTTGCTATGTCCTTAAGAATAGAGACATATAGGATATATTAGGTTTTCTGTAACTGAGACACAATACCCAACATCCACAACTTAATGGAAGAAAGGTGTGATTTAGCTCATGGATTCAATACATTCAGTACCTGGCTGGCACATTCAATGGAGAAATATCAAGGTGCAAGGGCATGGTGGAGCAAAATTGCTTAGTTCATGGTGGCAGTTAAGTAAAGCAGAGATACAGTGCCAAAGAAGAAGTGAAAGAGAGATATAGACCTCACAGCCATGCCTTCATGATCCACTCAGATACCACAGACTGTATTCTACCTATCCTTGATGTTGATTGTGAAGCCGAAAAATTGGCATTCCACCCTACTGGCCACATTCCACTACTTGACCACTTGAGACTCAAACACAACTCTTTAAACTATACTTAATCACCAAACAAACACAAGATTATAATTCTGCCTAACTTGATACAAGTATCTTGCATATGACCCAAAATGTAAGAATGCCTTCCACAAATTTTTAATAATTTCAGTATTTTTCAGAAGTCCAAATCTCTTCTGAGACTCAAGGCAAACTCTTAGCTATAAATCACTAATAATAAAAAGATAAGTTGCATAGTCCCAACATAGTATAATGGCACACTTTAGGTGTAGGAGAATGGTAAAGAAACAGAGCAAAGAAAGACCAAAACTCAGAAGGCAAACCTTCAGTCCTACAGCTCCATGAGACTTCATGGGGACATGGTGGTGAGACGGGTTTTATAGGACCTGGACACCGCCCTCCCTCTGGCCCCGTTATTTACTTCACATATAGCTTCTCTTTTGGGCTGGCTCTACTAGTGGGATGCACCTTTCCTTAGTACATCTTCAGTTTTCTGCATCTTTCACCCCCTGGGGTCTCTACTGCACTGCTGTGTTCATCTCCACAGCTCCCTGCCTCACCCACTCAAATTGCAGAACTAGAAAAGCTGGTGGTGTAACTCAGGCTGGGTCAGCCCCTTAGAAACAAGTACATGGGAGTGCCTGGTGTTGGTCTGGATGCCAAAGGCTCAAGAGCCAGTAACTCTGATGTCCAAGAGTAATAGAAGACAGGGTTTCCAGATGAAAAACAGGGAGACATAGGATGTGCCCTTTCCCTACCTCTGTACTGTATTCAGGAAACCCTAAATGGAGTTGATTACAACTACCCACACTGAGGAATAAAGAATTCTCTATTAATTCTGGTGACAAAAATGTAAAATCTTTGTAAACACTCTCATAGACATACACAGTTTAACAGCTTTTGAGTAACCCTAGACCCAGGAGAACTAACATTTAAAACTAAACATTAAAAATAGCCACATCATATTTACTTGTGGCAAATTCACTGCATCTCTATGTACATGACTTTATGGGCCATCGGAATGCAGTTTTGTTACTGTGCTCTTTTGCTTTCTTTTGCACAGATTTACAGGGATCAGAGTTGAACATAATCTTATATGACTAAATACCACAATCTGACCTCAAGACATTTTAATCACTCATGTTAAGGTATTATATTTGAGCACATCATTATTTTCTATGAAACAATATTGCAGAAAATGGCAGCATTTCAGACACCTAACTTTAATAAGGGCTTTAAAATGAAACTCAGTTCCTGATGAAAGCCAGAGAGATACGTGTCTATATATTGTCATCTTGCACCAGTAAAATCAAGATCCTAGTGATTATTTTGCCTTCAGAACAGTCTTTGTGAATGCATTCTTGACCTTCTTGTTCCTCAGGCTGTAGACCACAGGGTTCAGCATGGGGATGGCCATGGTGTAGAACACAGATGAGATTTTGTCCATGTCCATGGAGTGACTGGAGCTGGGCTGCAAGTACATGAAGATGACGGTCCCGTAGAAGATGGAGACTGTGGTGAGGTGGGAGGCACAGGTGGACAGAGCCTTCTGATGTCCTGTGCCTGAGCGCATCCTTAGGATGGAGACAGAAATGAATGCATAGGACATGAAAATAATGAAGAGAGCAAAAGAGACATTGAAGCTTGAAACATAAACAAGAACCAGCTCACTAACATGTCTATCAGAGCAAGAAAGAACCATGACTGCTGGAACATCACAGAAGAAGTGATGAACCACATTGTTGTCACAGAAGGAGAGGCTGAATGTGTCCCTGACCTGGGTGGAGGCATTCACGAAGCCACAGATGTAGGAGCCTATGACCATCCATGCACACGCTCCTGTGGTCATGGTGGTGGTGTAATGTAAGGGCTTAGACACTGCTGCATAGCGGTCATAGGCCATGGAAGCCAAGAGGTAATTTTCCACAGTAGCAAAGGCTACAAAAAAGAACATCTGAGCAGCACAGGCATTGTAGGAGATGGCCTTGTTTCCTGTAAGCAGCCCAGCCATGACTGTGGGAGTGATGGTGGAAGAGTATCCAAAGTCCACCAGAGACAGGTTACCGAGGAAGAAGTACATGGGGGTGTGCAGACGAGCGTCCAGCAGGATCAGCAGGATCATCCCCAGGTTCCCAAGCACAGTGATGGTGTAGATGAGGAGGAAGGTTATAAAAAGGGGAAGCTGCAGGTGTGGGTCATCGGTCAGTCCCAGCAGGAGGAACTCCGTCACCTCTGTCCTGTTCTCCATCCCTGCTGTTTGGGAATCAGAAGATGCCCTGCAGCAAAAGAAGTAAAGTACAAGAATGTTAACAGATATTATGATGACATGTTACACTGTTTACACAGCACATGGTGTACTTAGAATAATGATACATATTTCAAGTTTCTCCCTGTCTGAAGGTGTGGTTAACTACAAAAAAGACTTCCTTAATTATCTATAACATTACAAACTGTTTACTTGGAAATGTCTACATGAAATCTCCAGTTCTCAAATTTTATGTACTTATAAACTAATATTTGGTAATTTTTTAAATGATTCAGTATGATATGTCCAAAGTTTTATGTGTTAACATGCATGTAGTATGTAAAGAATAAAGAAGTGATATCTAGTGAAGATATTATTAGGAAAACTAAATGTTAAGAGGCATAAAAGCAATCTTTAAACTGTGTTGTGAGCCACATAAGGACAAACAATCACTCAAGCAGACTGGCAGACTGTGCTTACTTAGGTTAGGTAGGTGACATTATGCCAGTTTTCGGGTGTGGGTGAGCTTTAAAATCTTGAAACCTCCTTGCTCTAATACCTTTGCTCACACAGTAGGGTCACTGGGATTTTGTCTGTGCTACCCAGTTATTCTTTGTCTACTTTAGCTCATCTGTGTAGCTAGGGGATTTTGTTTATTTGTTCTGTTTTTGCCCAGTTTCTTCCTTGAAATCCATAATTTATGTAGCATTGAAAGAGTCTTAATTTCTAGTGTTACTTTCAGTAGTATCTGCCCATATTTGAATTACTGAGATTGAGGGCTGAACAGTCATGCTTTGTGACTTGACCTTAGTCTGTAGAGCTTCTTCTATGGAACACTAAATGTTGAAAAGTTATATTAAAACATCACATTGTACCTAATAAATATATACAATTATTATTTGCCAATTCAAAACAAAATATAAAGAAATAACAAATATTTCACTTGAGACTGGTGTCATGAAGGAATAGCATTTTTTTTTTTTTTTTT